TTAATTGGTTTTTAGTGTTTACTGCATTATTAGTTCTATTTTTGTGTTTTTCAGCAAGCTGGGATTTCAACAGAATACATTTCATGAGTATCTACATGGTATAAGTCATAATCATATATAAATTCTGTTACTATAAACAATAATATAACCATCTAAATGATCTCACTATGATTTAGGAGGGATATAGTTCAAACTTTCATCTAATTGGTTGATTACTTCTAGACAAATTATTCTCAAGGGATTAAATCGTGTTTTGCTAGAATGATTTACACTGCTTTTGAGGTTTATTTTACAAACTTTTCTCAAGCTAACCATTAACTCCTTTAACATGGCTTTACTAATTTAGTTTTGGGCAGAGATAATTTAGAGGTGATTAGTGGAAAAGGCTGACTAGAAGATTTGGATTTCACCGATGATTTATGTCTAATGTCGCACAAACTCGAAGATCTACAGGCGAAAACTAACAAGTTGACAGAAGAGGTATCGAAAACTTCAAGTCAATGTAGAGAAGACGGAGGTGATGAAGATACCCAACCAACAACAGCATCAACAACAAGCACCAATGATCACTAACGGGAGAAACCTAAAGGAAGCTGTCTCTTTCACCTACCCAGGCAAGGCAGCATCATTTCAACTACAGGCGGAACAGACACAGACGAGAATGTCAAAACCAGGATCAGAAAGACAGCAAGACAGGCTTTCATTAGTCTGAAATGAATGTAGAGATCTACTGAACTGCACTCAGCATAAAGAACAAGATCCAGATTTTCAACACTAATGTCGGTCAAGTCAGTGCTGCTATATGGTTCAGATACTTGGCGTGTCACGAAAGCATTTCCGACAAACTACAGACATTCGTCAACAGCTTCCTATGCTCACTTGATACTGAAGATGGAGATCAGAAGGCCAGAAAGAATAAGCAACAAAGGAACTCTGGGAACGAACGAACCAAGAACCTATCACCCATGGCATTAAACTGTCGTGCGTCGTGCGAAGGACAGATACAGTGAAAAAGTGTATGGTGGGAGAGCATATGAACAGATGAAGGTTGATAAAAATGTTTAAAACTTTGATGACAAAATTGTGCATATTAACGTCATTGTGATGAATCTTAAGCCAAATAACCAAGAGACTTGGACAATTGGTTCCCACCTACTTAAATGCCTTCGGTAAAGCAGCCTACATCTCCCTACAACGCTCAAACCAATCATCACATACTTCATGAACTAGTACAATATATCTCTTTGTGCAACCATAGCTTTCTTACAACTTAGTTTTAATTCGGATAACACCACATGTTGGAGTAGGTGGTACTTTGTCATGCTCATTACAAATATGGTCCATTTGCAAATTTTTCAAGTTGGTATTGATCATGGATTGTCATCGCTTGGATGAGTACCAAATTGAAAAATCTCTTAATTTCTGCGAAACCCCGAATTCAATAGAACTAGTGCTCATTGGTGACTAGCTTCGGGAGGTGATTCCTGAAGTTCCAATGGGAAGTCGTGACTAGTCGGGCAAACCTGGTAGCTGTGAAGATAAATACTCGCCGATGACATTTGGTGGTGGTCGCAATATGTCGTGAACTGACAGAATTTGGGAATATGGACCACTGGATTGCAACCCAGTAGCTAGCTCAATGGTAACATGCTGACCACGAAACCTGACGTTCCTGGGCTTGATCCCTAGAGGGTGGGAGGTAATAGGTGCACACTGCTGAGGAGTCTCATACTAAGACGGAACAGCTGTCCAGTGCTCCTAGGTCTACAATATTTCTGTAACTGATGTCAGTCCATGATGAATTGCAACTTGAAAAATCTCTAAAACCCCACAAACCCTCAAATTCAATTTGCAAATAATTTACAAACTGAATGAACCATGTTGTTATTTCCCGTAGACGAGTAGCTAATCAACGGCTCGGCTATATTGTTAAAGGAATTTCTTTTGGAATCCAGTTGGCTGAGATCACAAGGTGTGAACTTTGAAACAGAAGTATCATAAACTTGCTAAAATTTTGTTAATACCACAGTTAAGGAGTTGAAAAACTACTGTGATTTTGAGATCTTACAGTTTGTAAATCATTTGCATATTGACCATTTTATTTTAGGTCTGCCAAGCCATGCAAATCAGCTAGCTGGATTCAGGCTATATAAACTCATTTGGCTGCAAGAACTGAATTTGTGCGGGTACATCGCTGATGAGCTTGACTCCAAACAAATGAAACGGGTGTCCAGTGTTTAGATCACTGTTATGTTGCTGGCGAAACCTACAGATTAACCTGAATGATTCCTAACTATTTCAGTAGTTCACTGGTAGTATCTGTCAAAAGTATAATCGAATAATGAATCACACTATTGAACGACACCAAGATTTATAAATAAACCAGTACATTATTTAGTAGTATATACTGAACACAAATCCAAGCCATCTCAGTTGATGTAAATTTGCAGCCTAGTTGAATTAATATAATAATCCATGAAAAGAATTTCAGAAAAGTGGGGAATTTTATATCTAGTTACTGTCTACATGAGGAAACAGTTGTCTGTGACTCTCAGTAGAACAGATGCATCCACATAAAACCTTTGTTGAAACATTGAAAATCCTGTTATTATGTTTATTTCTTCCATTTATATCTTTTTATTTCAGTTTTATAGATTTTTACCACTTCTCATGATATTGTTTTGATTTTTTGACTTTTATCTTATTGAATAAAACCTTGATGTATTGATATGAAGTGTGGTAATTAATGGAGATGTACGTTAATGTTAAATCTTCTGCCAATGACATTTATAATTATTCCAGAACTCTTTTTTACAAGCGTAAGAAAAAGACTCTAAAGCTTAAGAGTAGATGGACTTAGGTGGAAAAAAACCTTTAGTGTTTTTCTCAGAAACCTATAATTACCGTATTCAATCAGTATATTGTATTGAGAAATGATGGCTGTGATAAACAACAACAATATAGCTGTTAAATATGAAATCTCAAGACTATCTTATTTATTCCATGTGATCGAAATATCAAAGTGAAAATGTAAATGCTACTATTGTTCTGTATTTCTGTGACATTGAAATGAACTTGTGATATTCTAAGCAACCAACCAACCAACTGCCTAGTAGACTTTTCAAAGAAAGGAATAAATATTGTAGAAGATTGTAACTTGTATTTTTATGAGGATGTTAGGATGTCAGTTACATTTTAAGGGGGGATGTTTTGAGAGTAGGTGTGGCCATGTATCAAAACTTACAATCACTTGTCAATAAAGGCATCATATACGTTTTATGATTAAAATGATGGGTAGAAACAAAGTGTTTGAAACAGTTAGATATAGCGTGAAACAATGATTAAAAAAATAATTAGACAGTTTTACTCACCGTACTAATGTTAAAGACATGATCTCTTGGTCATATTTTTTAAATCAGTATGTTGATATGTACAAAAAGGTACTTTGTCCTTCTATATATTGATAATGGATAGTGGCTAGCAGTGAAATTCAGGACGCTTGTTTCGTCCTTGATTGGGACTCGTCAGCTAGACGTACCTGCCTCGTAGTGAATGATGTTGTTCCCACCAGGAGTGGAACTTAGGACCCATCGCTTCAGAAACCACAGCGTTATCCACTAGACCCCCAAGTTACGATAGCCACTCTGCTACATTACATTAGTTGTTCTACCATGAATGATACTTCCATGCGTCATTATTTCTTTTAGTTTTATCATACACAGTTTTGAAGCATATTTTCTCATTCTGGGATAGGAAGGAATGAATTATTTTTCTTGAAATAGTACTGAAAGAAATATCTTCCTTAAATACACCATACTGTGTGCATCTACATGACGATTTCTGAATACCAGCTAGTATGCGGCTCAAATCTTAATTGCTTATCAAGACTTTAGGATCATGCTTGTAGGGTTAATACATAACTAAATGACGCGAAATTTGTCTAGATTTTGATTTGAAGTCATTAAGATATATAAGAATGCTGCTCAGGTGTGTAGTGTTTTCATGAGACAAATACATTTACGGTAACGTCTTCAGAAATGTCACTTTTAATAGAAGAGGTGCTTGTATTCTTTGTACTTCTGGTCTATTTCAGAACTCCATTTCTAAGTTATTTAAGCTGAAGAATGCATCTTTAAATTGTTTATTTAAAGTGGTAGCAATACAAATATGGTTAACTTAAAATTCGAGGTTTGTATTTCAGTTAATCTTTTTGATGAACTACTGGTTGTAAGACTATATTGAAAGATGAATTTCATACTTGTCAACATGTTATATGATGTATGTAATCATTGACTTTTGAAGTATTCGTTATGGGAGCAACACTGCTGATGAGTCTCAAATAGGATGAAGTGCACATCTTGGATTCCATTGTTGGCCTTTATCCATCACCATTACTTAATGCTACCCTAAGGCAATTAGTTAACTTTTTCTAGTATGACACGCGTTTTAAACCATGCATACTATTTATACTGTTATATTTAATAGCAACACATATATATGTATTTACACTAACCTAACATAGGAAATTATGCAGCCTAGGAATGATGTATAAGTGTATTCATTCGGATGTTAGCGTTTTGTTCATGAGGAGTTGTAATGCCAGGCTGTCATTTAAATTGTGAACTCATGAAGAAACAGCTGACTTCTAAAAATCTAAGCTCTATGTCAAAGTTTCATATAGTTTTCTGACGACTGATTGATTTCAAGGCATTATTCATCACGGACTGATATCATTTAGATAACTACTGAAAGCCTAGAAGCTTCGGACATCTGTTTCTTCTTAGTATAGGACTCAGTAGCAGTATGCACCCGTGACTCTTGAAAGGAATGAACTTGGGTCCATCAAAAGGTTGCAAAATGGTGTTTCTATATGATCTTATATGATTTATCTGAAGCTTACCTTTTTCTTATGTAGATAGACGTTCTTGGGCTTTTTTAATGTTTGAAGTTCTTATTTTAATCAAGACTAAATTCAATTTTATCTTTCATTCCTTTTGAAGATTCGCGTAAATCATGGGCTTCCACTGCTAGTAGAATTATTAAATCATCCAATGCATTGTGTTATTTCAACAGTTGCTAACGCTCTGCGTAATTCTGCGCTGGATCCAATAAGTTGTAACCTACTTGGTAGACATGCACTGAATCGTATCATATATACATTAGATCGACACCCCTGTGGAATTGTCACATGTACAACGTCAAATCAGTATACATCACACCATTTGAGTAAATTAAATCAAGTTAATAATATTAACTCTGAATGGCAATTACCTAAATCGAAATCATCAGATCTAACTGATAAAATATCTTTGCATAATCCTAATTACTGTCATTTCATTGATGAAGACAAGTTGAACACGAAGAAACTATGTACAGCAAGTCTACTTAGTTTATGCTGTATTTTAATACATAAGAAATTAGAACATGCAAGGTGAGTTGAATTGGAAATTTTAAGTTCGTTTTAACCTTTATTCTATCATTGATTTTCATTTCTATCCTCAATTAGTGAATATCTAAAATAATCTGGTAAAATAATCACTTCTACAGTTCTCGTTAGATGCAATGAGAATACTTCAAAGTTCTCTGTGATGTAAATCAGATGGTGTTTTGTGCACTATAAAATTAAACTAGTGGTTACTGGCATTTAGCAATCACACAAGTAATGGATTGTTTATACATATTATTTTTAAACTCTCGAATTGTCTGGTGAAATGTAGACGAATCCGCAAGAAAAGGGTTATCCATAGAAGTTTGTCAAGAAATGTGGAAGATCTAAAGATGAAAACTGAAGGAAAATTACAATGAGCAGGAAGTTTCTCGCAGATAAGCCTTGCTGATGAGTCATGTATCAGCGAAGAAATATTTCTTTTCAGTGACTTCATTATCAAGCTGTACAGTAGAATTTATACTTGTTAAAGTGACAGATAATTGCACTAAAAAGTTGCTCAGTCAATATGCAAAATATACAATCGGTGTAGGTGGTGGTATTTGTTCAAGTGGAAGAGATAGAAAATGGGTCATTGGAAAAGAAACGAATTGATAACAAGTGGTGAGGTAAGAGACAAGTGTTGTCAAAGAATTGTAAAACGGTGATAATTACGGGAAAAGTGTAAACCAGGTCAATGAATAAGGAATGAATTGATATTGACAAGTGAAATATGGGTCAAATATTGTCAATGAAGGTAAAATTGGTGATAATGATGATAATAAAGAGAAGTATACCAAAGTGAAACCTCGCCTGGTTAACTAGTTCACTAGTTACTAGCCGATCATAAGCCGAGGTAAACAGGGAAGGTTGAGCATAGGGCTAGCAACCCTACCCTGGAAAACAAATCTAACCGCTAAACAAACTTCAAAGCACAAACAAAATATAAAAAAATAACAACAAAATTATTCCTCGCTGCAATCCGAGAGGCGAAATGACACCGGTTGCTGAAAGCCTTCGGGAAGCCGATTGACCGGGCCGATGTGTCTTCTCTCCCTCGATTAAAGTGAAAGTAAACACGGGGACATGGAATGTCCGCACCATGTTTGAACCCAGCAAGGCAGCCTAGATTGCAAACGAGATGAGGAGGTATCACATTGAAGTGCTTGGAATTTGCGAAAGCAGATGGAATGGGAGTGGACTCTCCAAACTGTCAACTGGAGAATCAATAATTTACTCCTATATTGTCACCTAGACGACAACCACGAGCACACTGAATCATGGAGTTGCTATCATGATGTCCCCAAGCGCATCGAAGGCTCTCGTGCAGTGGGAACCAATCTCCTCTTGCAGGATCATGACAGCAAGGTTCAACTCAAAAGGAAGGAAAGTCACAATCATACAATGCTACGCACCTACAAGTAATGCAGAGCAAGAGAAAAAGGAGGAATTCTGCAGACAACTGCAATCAACACTGAACAAGACCACACTGCAGTTGGCGATATCAAAATTCTAATGGGTGGGGCGACATGAATGCCAAACTGGGAGAGAACAACACAGGAAGAGAACTAACCATGGGTCGAGAAGCGCTCGGTGAGGTGATGAACGAGAATGGAGAATTGTTTGCAGAATTGTGTGCATTCAACGATTTGGTGATTGGAGGTGAGGCAGTGTGTTCAAGCACAAGGATATCCACAAAGTGACATGTAGTTGATTTCACCAGACACCAGGACACACTAAAAATCAGATCGACTCTATCTAAATGTGAAGAGAGTGGAGACGCAGCCTACTTGACACAAGGTCAAGAAGAGGAGCAGATGTAGGCTCAGACCACTATCTAGTGCAAGGAACTTTCCAAATCAAGTTAAAAGCCTTCAAGGAAGCTGGTGATAGACCACAGTTCAAGTTCAACACCCAGAACAGAAACTGAACTGAAGGATGAAACTACAAAGGACATCTTCACGTCAGTCATCAAGACAAAATGGGAGATATCGAGCAACATCCCTGAAGAAACCTGTGTGGATGAACAGTGGAACTCTTTGAAAGCCATGTGGAAAGAAACATGCATAACCGTATTAGGAAGGAAGAAGAAAGAAGATAAGGAATGGATCTCGACGGACACATGGAAGCTGATAGAGCATGAAGAGGAGGATGGTGAAGCAGAAGATGAACCAGTGTAAAGATGCACAACGAGAAGAGGAAGTGAGTACAATGTATAAAATACTACACTGGACAAATAAGTGAAGAAGAGTGCGAGCAAATACAAAAGACACTTCCACGACACACTGGTATGTGAAGCAGAACAGGCTGCAGGCCGTTAAGAGAGACCTGATAACACTATATATCAAATAACCAGGTTACTGTTCGGTGGTGAAGAGATCAACACACATGAAGCTCATAAAAGATGGTGACGGAAATTTAATTACGAAAGAAGAGAAACAAAGGAAACGATGGGCTGGCCACTTCAAAAAGCTGTTGAATCGACCACTACCACCACCTGCACTTCGTCCAGAAATACCACCCGCAGCCCAGCCACAGAACTACAAGTGAACATGAATCCTCCAACAAAGGTGGAAGTCCTGAACGCCATAAAGCTACTGAAATGCAGGAAAGCAGCATGACCAGATGGGATCCCGCCGGGAGCACTGAAAACACGCAGAGACAACAGTGGAAATGCTCACACCACACCACTGTTGCAGAAGGTCTGGAAGGAAGTAAAGGTACCTGGCAATTGGAGGAAGGGTTACCTTGTCAAACCCCCGAAGAAGGGAGACCTAAGTGTTTGCAGGAACTAATGAACTGACCGGTCCAAGTTGGTTTAAACATGCCTCGTTTATAGGGTCTACCGAAGGTGCTTAGAGATGGTCTTCCTCTTCGTCCAGTACTGGATAAGCTTAATTCACCTTATCACTCATTGGCAATGTGGCTTGCTTTAGTGCTTGAACCGGTGAAACTCTTGGTTGTAAGAGAAATCTCATTCACTCACTGTGTTCCAGAGTCTATGGAATATGTTCAGAAGATACGGTGGGTGCTGAACTCGAAAGTCTTAGGATAATACTTTCTAATAACGGACACCCTAAAAGATTCATTGATAAGAATCTGAAGGAACGAACCACTCCCCATCCCATTACAGTACCTAAGAAAATTTTAACCATGAATCTAGAATTCAGAGAAGATAACACAGCCGAAGTGCTGAAAAATCGTCTGTCAAGATGTATCAGTAGTAGCTTCTATGCTGCTAGACTGAGATTGATACTCCCCAGCCGTCTGATTCGTCATTGCGTGAAGGATAGGCTTCCACTTGTGTCCACGTCTCTGTGTATCTACAAGTTCACATGCTTCTGTGGAGCTGACTATATGGGATATTGTAAGCGGGCCCTCCGAAAACGTGTTGCTGAACACTACCTGGTTTGGCTTACCAGAGGCGAGCAAAGGAAAACGACCTTATCCATATGTGAACGCCTTTTTCAATTGGGACACTTAGCACCTCGAGATTCATCCTTTGAAATAATTTACAAAGTTAGATTGAACTACTTCAAAGGTTACCGTTTCTACCACATATGCATAGCGGAAACACTAGCTTTACATGAAAAAAACCGAAACTTTGCATTCAAAAACGTTTTGTGAACCCACTTTCTCTACCTTGGCCTTAACAATTCACTTTGTTGATTTTGTCAATTTCAGTTCACTTTGGTATTTTTTATTATATTATTATTTGTCCCTTGGGTTCCTAATGGAACATAAGGCTTCAGTAGCACGTCTCCACTTCAGTCTGTTCTCTGAAATCTTTTGAACCTGGCTCCACGACAGCCCATAACCTCTCATTTCCTCCTCACACGATCTCCTCCATGTCACCCTCACCTCGGACGCTCAACTCGTCGCTTCTTATGGGGATTCCACTCGACAGCCTGACCTGACGCGTGATGTTCCCAGTCGTCCTTCTCAGTGTATGCCCAATCCATCTCCACTTCCTTCCAGTGCATATATGTTGGGTGATAGGTTCTTGGTTGGTTCATTACCCGGCCATCCACCCAGAGTTCCTTATTGCTTATTCTTTCTGGCCTTCTGATGTTAGCTTGAGTAACGAGGCAGGGTAGGCAGTTGTTGATGAATGTCTGTAGTTTGTTGGAAATGCCTTTCGTAACGTGCCAAGTCTGTGAACCATACCGGAGCACTGACTTGACTGAATTGGTGTTGAAAATCCGAATCTTGTTCTTTATGCTGAGTGCAGTTCAGTAGATCTCCCTACTGATTTCAGGCTAATGAACGCTTGTCTTGCTTTTCCGATCCTGGCTGGCTTTGACATCCTCGTCTGTGCCACCACTTGTAGTTTAGACTTTGCTGCCTAGATAGGTGAAGGAGGCTACTTACTTAAGGTTTCTCCCAATGATAATGATTGGAGCCTGTTGTTGTTGGTTAGGTATTGTCATCACCTCTGTCTTCTCTATATTCACTTGAATGGTGTTCCGTCTTCAATGCCTCTTCTGTCAACTTGTTAGTTTTTGCCCGTAGATCTTCAAGTTTGTGTGACATCAGACACAAGTCATCACTGGCAAAATCCAAGTCTTCTAGGTTCTTTTCCCCAGTCCAGCCAGCGTATCCCTCTCTTCTCACAGCTCCCCACTGTTTGCTGCATGATCCAGTCCACCATAACACAATCAGGAATTTCATGGGTGATAGTAGGCAACCTTGTTTCACCCCTGTCTTCACTTCAAAAGCATCACTGAGCTTCCCATTGTGAATTGCTTAGCCGGCATGTGGCGTCTTCATATAGTTGTTGAATGAGGCTAATAAAGGTTTGCATGATTCAATAGTATTGAAGCAGCTTCGAAATTACCTCTCGGTCGACGCTGTTAAAGGCCTTCTCAAAGTCGATGAAGTTGAGGTAGAGAGTAGACTGCCATTATACACTCTGATGTATGATGATGCGAAGCATTGCAATTTGGTCTTCATATGATTTGTACTTCCTAGATCCAGGCTTTCCGGGTCGTAGTTTTGAATCCAGTGCATCCTTTAGTCTCCTCAGGATGATGCAGCTTAATATTTGCTGGATTTGGGTGGACAGGAGTGTGATTTCACGCCAGAAATTGCAAACACTTAGATCTCCCTTCTTCGGGGTTTGACAAGGTAACCCTTCCTCCAATTGCCAGGTACCTTTACTTCCTTCCAGACCTTCTGCAACAGTGGTGTGGTGTGAGCATTTCCACTGTTGTCTCTGCGTGTTTTCAGTGCTCCCGGCGGGATCCCATCTGGTCATGCTGCTTTCCTGCATTTCAGTAGCTTTATGGCGTTCAGGACTTCCACCTTTGTTGGAGGATTCATGTTCACTTGTAGTTCTGTGGCTGGGCTGCGGGTGGTATTTCTGGACGAAGTGCAGGTGGTGGTAGTGGTCGATTCAACAGCTTTTTGAAGTGGCCAGCCCATCGTTTCCTTTGTTTCTCTTCTTTCGTAATTAAATTTCCGTCACCATCTTTTATGAGCTTCATGTGTGTTGATCTCTTCACCACCGAACAGTAACCTGGTTATTTGATATATAGTGTTATCAGGTCTCTCTTAACGGCCTGCAGCCTGTTCTGCTTCACATACCAGTGTGTCGTGGAAGTGTCTTTTGTATTTGCTCGCACTCTTCTTCACTTATTTGTCCAGTGTAGTATTTTATACATTGTACTCACTTCCTCTTCTCGTTGTGCATCTTTACACTGGTTCATCTTCTGCTTCACCATCCTCCTCTTCATGCTCTATCAGCTTCCATGTGTCCGTCGAGATCCATTCCTTATCTTCTTTCTTCTTCCTTCCTAATACGGTTATGCATGTTTCTTTCCACATGGCTTTCAAAGAGTTCCACTGTTCATCCACACAGGTTTCTTCAGGGATGTTGCTCGATATCTCCCATTTTGTCTTGATGGCTGCCGTGAAGATGCCCTTTGTAGTTTCATCCTTCAGTTCAGTTTTCTGGGTGTTGAACTTGAACTGTGGTCTATCACCAGCTTCCTTGAAGGCTTTTAACTTGATTTGGAAAGTTCCTTGCACTAGATAGTGGTCTGAGCCTACATCTGCTCCTCTTCTTGACCTTGTGTCAAGTAGGCTGCGTCTCCACTCTCTTCACATTTAGATAGAGTCGATCTGATTTTTAGTGTGTCCTGGTGTCTGGTGAAATCAACTACATGTCACTTTGTGGATATCCTTGTGCTTGAACACACTGCCTCACCTCCAATCACCAAATCGTTGAATGCACACAATTCTGCAAACAATTCTCCATTCTCGTTCATCACCTCACCGAGCGCTTCTCGACCCATGGTTAGTTCTCTTCCTGTGTTGTTCTCTCCCAGTTTGGCATTCATGTCGCCCCACCCATTAGAATTTTGATATCGCCAACTGCAGTGTGGTCTTGTTCAGTGTTGATTGCAGTTGTCTGCAGAATTCCTCCTTTTTCTCTTGCTCTGCATTACTTGTAGGTGCGTAGCATTGTATGATTGTGACTTTCCTTCCTTTTGAGTTGAACCTTGCTGTCATGATCCTGCAAGAGGAGATTGGTTCCCACTGCACGAGAGCCTTCGATGCGCTTGGGGACATCATGATAGCAACTCCATGATTCAGTGTGCTCGTGGTTGTCGTCTAGGTGACAATATAGGAGTAAATTATTGATTCTCCAGTTGACAGTTTGGAGAGTCCACTCCCATTCCATCTGCTTTCGCAAATTCCAAGCACTTCAATGTGATACCTCCTCATCTCGTTTGCAATCTAGGCTGCCTTGCTGGGTTCAAACATGGTGCGGACATTCCATGTCCCCGTGTTTACTTTCACTTTAATCGAGGGAGAGAAGACACATCGGCCCGGTCAATTGGCTTCCCGAAGGCTTTCAGCAACCGGTGTCATTTCGCCTCTCGGATTGCAGCGAGGAATAATTTTGTTGTTATTTTTTTATATTTTGTTTGTGCTTTGAAGTTTGTTTAGCGGTTAGATTTGTTTTCCAGGGTAGGGTTGCTAGCCCTATGCTCAACCTTCCCTGTTTACCTCGGCTTATGATCGGCTAGTAACTAGTGAACTAGTTAACCAGGCGAGGTTTCACTTTGGTATACTTCTCTTTATTATCATCATTATCACCAATTTTCCCTTCATTGACAATATTTGACCCATATTTCACTTTTCAATATCAATTCATTCCTTATTCATTGACCTGGTTTACACTTTTCCCGTAATTATCACCGTTTTACAATTCTTTGACAACACTTGTCTCTTACCTCACCACTTGTTATCAATTCGTTTCTTTTCCAATGACCCATTTTCTATCTCTTCCACTTGAACAAATACCACCACCTACACCGATTGTATATTTTGCATATTGACTGAGCAACTTTTTAGTGTAATTATCTGTCACTTTAACAAGTATAAATTCAACTGTACAGCTTGGTAATGAAGTCGCTGAAAAGAAATATTTCTTCGCTGATGAATGACTTTTTTCCCTTGTGAATATCTGGATTATTTCGTCAGTTGCCAGTGAGTGCCAAGAATGTCGAATCCTGGTGGGAGGCTTCCTGCTGTTTTCGTGTTTTGAAGTGACTTCTGTATATTTCATGGCGATGCTGAGGTGCCTATTCTAGTGGAGACGTCGGAAAATGATCCACGTATTTCGGTTAGCACTTAGGACTTAATAAGTTAAATTTGGTGACCTCTCAGCGACCAATCTGTATATCTGTCGAGCACTATCGAAGGTCAGCCGCTGACCTGGGTGAGGTGTATAACTGCAGAACTGGGTGACTCCGGTTTTGAACTCTGGCGGGACGTCATATGCGTTGAGGTTGAAGTTACGCTTTGACTTCGAGTACCAACAAGCATGAAACTTATATCATGCCGGACTTCTTGCTGATTGCCTCCATCCAACTAGTGTCTGTTTTTATTAAACTCACTTTCAAGTGTGATGAATTCGTTACCAGAATCGCTTAAAGTATGAAGTCCAAAGTGTACATGATATATTCAGTAGCCAAGTTGATCCCTGGCTACAAAACGACACGGTTTTTGATAGAATCGAAATTCAACAGGTTCCCTTCTCATGTTACATCTAAGCGTGTGTACACTTTTATATTCCTCTGCCTTAGTAACCTAAAAATTTGCTGTTCTTCTTCTTTGATGACAACATCTTTTAAATGAACTTTTTTTCTGTTTGTACAAGATGTCGATGGTCGTTCTGCCGAATGACTTCAACGGATTATATTTGAGCCTAATTTGTCTGTTACTTGTCATCAACTAACCAACTTGTTAAACTTCTCATGTAAACTATTATTCTTATTCATATTCTTCTTCTGAAATCTCTCTTGGATCATATATATACCTGAAACTTCTTTTCGCATCTGGTCCACTTTATTTAGATGTTTGTATTCTTTATTAAATCAAAGACGTTTGCAGAATAAAATGAGCTCATTTTATTACACGACCTTTCATCAGCTGCAAACAGCCTATAATTAAAATAAAGTATTAGTAATAATGATGATACAATATACTTTAAATATGTAGAGGCAAATGAAGATTTAAAATCCACGATAAACAGTAAGGTAGTGAGTGAATCGAGGAAACACAAGATTAATAGTCACAAACCTTAGTGAAAATGAATGGCGATTTATATGTGGTGAGATAGAAGATTTTGAAGCTGTGGAGTGCGGGGGCAAGGAGACAACAAACAAACATCCAGTGTAAAGGAAAGAGTTATGTATATACGTATATATGTATATGAAAAATTAGGAAACGTTAAGAAGCTAAAAAAAGTCAGTAAGTATTGAAAGAAAAGACGATGCATTTTTGCATAGGTATTCACATAGATAAATTTAGTCACGCAAATATATTCAAGTCATTAAGCCTTCATGATATATTCTTTACCTAACAGTAGAATGAATTGAATTACTATTTAGAAAATCCCAAATCTCTCGAAACATTTGATCATGCAGTCATTATAATAATAATGATTTGATTTTGTTTTATTTAATTACAGACGTTTTGTTACATTGGGAGGCGTAGAGAAGTGTCAAGAATTATTAAATATTTGCATTAGTAATGGTCATATAACAGAATTTAATTCTACTGATCAAACAATCAACGAAGATAAGGGAACTCAAGTTGTCATTAAGCTTATTCGTCAGTTACTATTTATGCTATGGGAATTTTCAGAATTACGACCAATTTACAAGTTGGTGAGTGCATATTAAGTTCATTCGTCAGCTATTTCTTCTATAAAAATACATTAGCCATGTTGACAGATAATGGTCATTGTCTGTGAATGAATAGTAATAATAATAATAATAGTGATAATATTAACAATAATAATAATAATACTCGCTTTAATCCAAACAACGTATGGGAGTATGGAATTCTCAGCATTTGATTTTTCAACAAATTCACTCCCAGAACAATATGAAGTGGTTATTGCATCTGCATGATGTTAGTAATAATAGTATTCAAGGCAATAATATGAAATAGCCAGCTGGTTCTGGATGGGCATTCGGTCCATAATAAATAATCAATAGAAATGCATACATAACTTTGGTGATGCTGGTTTATTCAGACGGTACGAAAATCTGCAACCCAAGTTAATCATCTGATAGATGTAAATATAATGTACTTTTATGCACCAGAAAGCTCATTTCCATATAACGTAACATTTTTCTCTGCCTTGTTACTGACTCGAAAAATGGAGAGTTGGAAACTGTCTAAAAACATGTCAGAGTACATGATATGTTCAAAGGACATATTTAAACGATTAAAACAAATTAAAGGAAAGAAATTAGATGAAAAAAGTTTCGGTGGAAAAATTGGGTTGCCCAAGATCCAAACAGGCCACCAAATGTTTTTGCTGTTCATCTGATTCTTTTCACAAATAACCACCAAGAGAAACCTTGAATGTCTCTTTCACACGTCTCAGGTCATATCAACACGTTTCCTATTTGATTTAAACCGATCCTGTATTTTTTTTTGTGGTTTTCAGTTCTACGATAAAATTGTGTTTTATCTTTCATGATGTTACAAGTCTGTTTATTCAAAAGTTCAGATAGCAACAAATGATTATTATCAATAGAAGTGGGAGTTTGGACTTTTCAAAACAACCCAAATGAGTTTAATGGATTACAACTTAGTTTAGTATTTCTCTTTGAGCCAAAGGTTGATAGAATTTTAATGACATCACATTCGATAAGTTTTGGAATTGAAAGGATATTTAATGAATAGCTGTTATGTTAAATAGACATTTTAGTTTGTCGTTCGTATGATAAGATAAGGAAGACCTTGAAATGGTGCACAATATTTGTAGCTTAGGTGGATGGATTCGGTGGTATTGTGTTCTCTAAGCTGGATTATTTAATCCTGGAGCTTTCATCATCTTTCTAGACGACATCAGTATGAAGTGATCTGTCAGTGTCTGTGCGTGAGTAATTTAGTAACTTGCCCCGATGAACTGGTTTGTGATTAGAGGAAACACAAAGAATATCAAAAAATTCCTAGAGGCTTGGAATTCAGGTCAGTCAGTAATCAGCAGATGTGTAGACATAGACTCAGTCTATCAACCAATGAGAAGAATGACAAACGACAGAAAGGTCAGAGGTCAGGCAGAGGAACAGCCAAGAAGAAAATCTATGCAGTCCATGACACAACAATCAAAGGAAATAACCAGTCACAAACCACTTCGTCAGGGCAAGCTACTAAATCACTCACGGAGAGACATTGGCAGTTCACTTCATACTTAAGTTAGTTCTGATGATGTTATCAAAAAAGATGATGAAGACTCCAGGATTAAACAACCGAGCTTAGAGAACACAGTAGAACTAAAACAGATATGACCTCTTTTCAATCGGATAACAGACAGTACAAGGGAAGAATTCACATGGTTATTTACATGGTCCACGTGTATATGTAAGTTGAAATGACCGTAGACCACTGAATAGCAAATGGCTATACTTCTTATCACCGTCAAAAGCATTCACTTGGACAAATATTAAGCGATTAGTGACTTGTTATTATTGTAGGGTTGTGAGAACGTGGATCGACAGGAAATTCTAATGATCAGTTTGCAAATGATTTACAAATTGTAGGACCCATATTGATATTTCTTGCAGCTGAGCAGTTTTTCAACTGCCCAACTGTGGTGTCAACAGGGTTTCCGCTGGAAACCACTCACAACGTGTGATCTCTGACATAAAAGTGTCATGAACTAACTAACGGTACTACTACTGAACAACCTGAGTATTTGTTAATCACTCAGGTTGATCTGTAGTATTTCGCCTATTTCGCCAACCAGATCAGGGTGATCTAAACACATTTGGGCAGTTGAAAATGTACTCAACTATGAGTAATATCAAAATGGACTCTACAATTTGTAAATCATTTACATATTGATCGTCCTACTTTAGCTATGCCGATCTGTTCAAGTCAGCTAACCAGACTCAGGCTATCTGAACTCTTTCAGCTCTATGAGCTGAATTTGTCCGAGTGCCATTGGTGATGAGGTACATCCCAAACGAGTGAAAAGAGTGTCCAGTGTTTAGATAAGTGTAACCTTGCTGGTGAAATCTACCGATCAGCCTGAGTGATTTCTATCTACTGAAGTTGTTTAATAGTGGTGTCTTTCACGAATTACGCATCATTTGTCCCTTGTTTATTTGAATAACAGATGTGTAGTGGTAGTCTGATTTTTGTGCAACATTATTTGAAGTAAAAGAGGGCGACAGAAGCTTGAAAGATCTCGTCATCAATCCGAAAGTTCATCTACTGTTTGCATTAGTTATGTAATCTGTCGAACACACTTTTTGACTACAGTTAGGTAGATTATCGTTTTGACTATCTGAGATAGCCGCGATTTGGCAGACATATTGATGTCAGGTGATGACTAAAGGTGAAATAAAAATTTGGACCGTAACCAGATCCGAATCAGCGACAACCGAGCTTCTGGCCTGGTGTTCTACCAACTCAGCTACGAGGTCCGACTGCCAAGCAGATTTCTATTTCACTTCAGTCGCTATCTCTCCCGGCTACCATGTGAATTCGTGATGTGTTATTATCGCTTGATCTGCCCAGTCCGGACTTCCATCCAATGCCATCTCTTCATGTTTAACTCGGTCAGCGCCATTGATTTAATATCTCGTTTGGACTCTTTTAATTAAGATTGAGTACTGGATATCAAGAAGTTGAGTACTTTTAAGCTATGCACTAGTTAAAACTTTACCTGACTTTCAAATCACATCCTAATACATAGAGTTAACTGAACAGGAACTAATTGTCTACTACATTTAATGGACGATTTAGAAACTTCTTTTTCCTGAAGTAAAATAAACTCATTGAACAATAAATAGTAATAATAAAACAGGCTAACGACTAAAAATGAAATGCAAATCTGGGGCATAGCAGGAATCGAACAGGCAGCCACTGAGTAACCGGTTCAGTGCTTTACCAAGTGAGCTACAAAACCCAACTGTTAAGTAGATCTTAATTCCACTTAAATTAGCAATTGTTTTGCATGACTTTTATGTGAGTTCGTGATGCGTTACGGTCGCTTGATTGTAGTTACTCTGGCTTCCCAGTGAGGACATCTCATTAATTAGTAGTACTGACATTTAATCTGTTTATCAAACTAATTATAATCTCTAAACAAAAAGGTATCCTTTTGTCAAGTAGTTAACAGCTATCCATGTTTCTTTGTCAAATATGAAACGAATAAACAAATAACTGTGAAAATGGAGGGAAGAAATTGTTTAAAGGGTTATTTTCTTGAAAATACTTCATTAAATAGTCTTTAGTATCAGTTGCAGAATCAGTGAAAATATGGGACCAAGGACTATAAAATCTCTTAGGGAGCAAGTTACATGTTATCGGTTTTCAACTTTTGTCATTTAGCTGTACACCATTATCGTCATCCAGACATCCTTCTTTTTACACAAGATAATCTATTTCTTTTGTGATATAAAGTACACATTTCTGATCAGTGACAAACGAGGAAAAACAACCATAAGATAACCTTATATTTTTAATTACCCTGTAGTTGGTATTTGTATGTGATGAAAACATCTTTATAAATTATCAACTCCTACAAAGGACCAATGAATTCATTTCGATCATACTCATTTTAAATAATCACAACGAATCCACGAGTAAGTTAATCAAACTCAGTTGAAAACCTTCTGACAAACGATATATTACTAACCTAGGAAATCATTGAATATTTTTCTAAGTCATGTGTTTCTTGTAAAAGTGTATGCATAGGCGATTCTTGAATGATTGGGCATAGTTGTTACTAATGGGTAGCATCAATGTTATTGGCACAAAATACATTCATTTCCTATTATTGTAAACATCCTACTATGCATTCACCAATTTTATTCGTCTATCTTTTCCACCTTGTTTCAATTCATTACTCTTATCGTCCTTACTTCTTTTGTAACCTGTTTGTTAATGATAACAAAAATCAGTTGAATTAGTTGAGAATTGGTAAAGGTTCTGAAATAAGTCTATCTAAATATCCTCGATGGAGTGAAGTGAAACCATATATGTTGTACATATCTGTCGGCCATTGGAAGGCAACAAAGTATGGCTATGTTAATTCATGGAACCAATCAATAAAGTCTTTCACTGCAGTCCATTCGCTGACTAGCTGTGGAATCCAAAACGTACGTTTCCTCCTATTTGGGACTCGTTAGCTGGATGTTCCTATCTTCCAATGAGTGATGTTTTTCTCACTGAGAGATATGTAGATGATATAACCGGAGGAAGTAACTGAACGGATTTAATATTGGGCTTTATAATTGATTACAATGATGCAAGCACTCTATATATCCTCTTTATATCACAAATGCTTTATTGACCCATATTCATTTATTATTCTCTTCCTTATGTCCTTCCTGTTTACTCTATTTTTAAACTCTTTCTGTTTATTTTTTTGGTTTCTAAGTGTAGCAGCTTGTTTCGCTGAACTTCCGTATCAAAGTGATTTGCAAGGTTTTCCATCTCTGTTGTACCATAGTTGATAGAATAATGGTTATTGTTACTATCATGTTTTCGAGTTTGGCTTGAAAAGATCAAAAATAGGTTATGAGAAGGGAATGAAATAAGCTCATTGAATGTTGTTTTACTTTCAATACCTCCCTAGCTGCTATCTGCATTGAAATAGAAGAACCTGGTGGGAAAATAATTTTTTGCAAAGAAGCTAATG